GGTACATGGCTAAGGAAGAAACACTGAGGCATCCTCGACCTCCTTCCTTTTGAACTTTCTTTCCCTTCTCCTAGTCACCCCTGCATTGCTAACACATCCCTAAAAAGCCTTCAAGGACAACCTTAAAGGACAGCTCTGAAGGTGTCCCTTGAATTGGAATATTTTACAGCTGGAAGAAACCTCAGATGTCATGTAGGCAAGCCTGCATTTTACGGACAAGGAAGCTGAATTCTGGGACTATTAAGATATGAATACAGAGCCCCTCAGGTCACATCACACCAGCTCTCGGCAGTGAGTGTTCAATCCACAGGCCACACTGCCGCCCACAATGAGGTCGTGGCACGGCATGGTACCTTCAGTCAAAATTCTGAAGTGTTAAAAAAAAAATTCTGAAGTGTTTCTCAATTAATTATTTACGTAAAATGAATTTATTATAACTCCCCCTATTATAGCATTAAAAAGAGCTTAAACCACTTAATAAATGGTAGCTGAAGTCATCTCTTGATGGATAATGTTTTCTCATTTGCAGTTGAAGTGCTAGAAGACAAAGTGACTTTAAAATTGCTTGAGAGGCCCCAATTATCTGATAAGCAGTTTCAAAGACCATACCCACAAATGCAGAAACAGACCTCTTTATGAGTGGTGTCTGACAAGGAAAGAGATATTTGTGGCAAAGGAGCTCTGGAAAATGTAATTATTTATCCTTTCACAATTAATGAAAGAAATTGAAAATGAAGCTTTCATTTCAAATCCTTTTTATCTGGATGAAACTTTAATTTTACATAATTAAATTGACTTCACAGTTCAGTGTGTTAAAATATGCAATTAAGCAGCATAACGAGGTTAAATGCCTAGTGTTGTTGGCTCATTTAGAAATTACGCTGTCCAACTCCCAAACAAGAATGAACACCTGCCTATCTGCATCTATCCCCAGATCCAGGGACAGCACACAGCCAGCAGGGCTGGCTCCCCAGATTCAGGGGACACAGCTATGTTTTCTTGCATATGCTAACTCCTGTATACAGTGAGCTGGGTATTTAAAGTTTTCACTCCTTTTTTGTTTTTCAGTGGAAACTTTTATGGGGCATGTAAAAATATTTCAGAAGTCTGATTGACTGCCACAGATGATTAACTTTATCTCTTACAGAAGTTCCCTCTAATATAACGCTTGCATCATCAAAGCTGTTGCTTTTGGTTTGGTGAAAGAACATCACAACTCCTTCATTCAAACTTTGACATTTCACAATTTACGATAAACTTCAGCTTTGAGCTCTTTCAAATTATGTTTACATTCTTTGAAAAGGAAGGCCTTATGAAATGCTGTGAGGGGTGTGGTATGGGGACATGGAAATGGTATTGAGGTGAAGTCACTGGAAATCCATCTTAAGAAGCAGAGGCAGACGTGTTCATCTGAGCACCTCTCCTCTTTTCTCTTTGAAAAGCACCTTCATGAAGATTAATTCATGATTCTGGAGCATATAGGTCAACAATCAGAACTGAGTGTCCTTCCCTTCTCTGCTATGGTCTGTAACAGTGATTCTTGTTTTGACCACTGGGGTGGCTGTTGGGAAGGACTCATAGATCCAAGCAGTATCTCATTATACTGAAGCCATTTGGTGGCTTCTCTAGATACACAGGGCAAGCATGTTCTTATATTAATTATAAAAAACAAATGAAGAAAAATGATAAGGCCTTTCAGGACAAACTTCTTTGCATTGGGGGGCATATGCCACAGTTGCAGGTTTATTCTTCCTATAATGGTCCCACTACTTGCTATAGGGTGTAGTTTGTTATGATGATTGGCAGGTCATAAAACTGTACATGAATGTACAAAGGTTTCTTCTTCTGAGCCAAAGCTTCAATTATGGTACTATCTGCTTCCATGATACTAGAAGGCATCATGTAGTTTATAAAATCTCCTAAAATTCCATGAGCTAGATCTGCCTCTTGTTTTACTGCATTGCCTTGGAACCCAAAGGAGGCCTTAGCTATCAAAGGACATAACGTTAGTTTTATTAAAAAAAAAATTTATCATGAGAAACAGTTTCAATAAGGGAGAACTTATAGTAATGTAGCCATGCAAATTGCAAAAGCCCCTATTTGTATATAACCAATTTCATAATTACAAATTATTTTTATAGATCCTCAGGGAAGTAAGATCTAACATAAGGTAACATCAAGTTATTTGGTTTTGGTTATTGTGTGCACTTCAAAGCCATTAAACTACTGGTTAGTGAAACTATGACTATACACAAACATACAAACAAACCACTGATAGGCTTTCTCTCAAACAACCTAAGTTATTGCAAGTTTCAACACTGAACAAGTATTTGAATAATAACAATAAAGGCTACTTTGTACAACTGCAAATCTATAATTTCTCAGAAACATTCATGTATGATTACATTTTATACAAGGCTTAGACCTGTTCTGACTTTAAACAGACCTTATTGTTTAAGAAATGCCTGGGTAATAAAACTGTTGACACATTATCAGAGTTCTAGGAAAAGGAATTGCAATTGTGAAATAAAAATGCAGTAGAATTGAAATATTTTATCAGTATGGCCTGATGTTCTCTGCTGATTTACTAGATCTATCTTATGTGATCTAGATGAACTGCTACAGATTTTAGTTCTTCAGAACCACATGGAAGAAACTATGGTCTACACCCATATATGATACATCCAAATGCAAAAGAAAAAGAAGATCAATACGAAAAATTATACACAGATAGTCCCTAAACCTTATATTGGTTTATTTTAATCTTCTTTCCCATTAAAGCTTTTACTACGGTGTTTCCAATATATCAAGTTGAAAATAACATTTTCTTTAATAAAAACCTAGATAGAAGGGATCAGACATCCACATTTAATTGAATCAACTGGAAGGAAAGATTCATCTTAAAAACTGTTTATTATTATTCTATAATCCTCCTGTTCCTTCCTGAGGTATGAATTCAGGAGAATTGCCAGATTCTCATAATATGAGATTATGCGTGAGAATTCTCAGTAGTCAAGTGAAAACTTTCCTGGTTTTGCTAATTTTTTTCTTCTTGTTATATGTGGTCAAAGAGTACCTGGAAAGTTAAAGGTTCTTAATGTAACTTTGATTTGTACAGTGAATAAATAGCATTCTGGGTGGTAGTCAGAAACAAGCATTTGCAGAACAAAGTAGTATTTTTAAAAATTTATTCTCTAGGGAAAGTTATTCTAATATTAAGTTATCTTTACCATGAAATGTGAAGTGCATTTAATAGGACAAAGACCCATGTACATACAACAAGTCCCAAAGACAATAGCCAAGGGCACCAAATTAATGAGTACATGTGAAAGCACTTTAAATCTGCAACATGCTTTATAAGTGTAATTAACATCTTCACACTGTCCTTTTCACGTAGAATAGGCAACTTTGAGAGGGAAGTAGTTGTGTTTTAGGAAGTTCAGCACTATTCCCTTATGAAAGGATTATTTTTGTGTTTAGAATATTTCTGCTAGAACTGAGTAAACCATTATGTTTTCTGTCTATAAATGAGGGAGATAAAGGCTCATGGTTGACTGCTGCTCTCCTAGACTTCTCTATTTATCTCTTTATATTTCATGGTTTACAAGCATAAAGAGTGATGCTCTAAACATAAAGCTTACTACACTATCATTACATGTGACATTCATGTAGGTGCTAACATATGCTTATATTTGAGGCAGTAAAGAGTTTTGAAGTAAACACTACTTGAAATAAACTGAATTTCATAATTCAAGGATGGATTTAGTTCTTAATTAGGGAAAAAAGCTAGAAGGCTGTGCCACTTAATTGAAGGTGGCTCCAAAGTATTAAAGATAATATAAAGATAAAACAATTTAAGGAAGCTAAGCCTTTAACAAAACAGAGACAGTAAAATTCTATCCCAAGAAATTGGTTTAGAAATCTGGAAAGAAAATTAAAAGAGTCATCTTGAATAATGACTTGCTACCTCTTACTGGGATACTATAATATTCATATATCATTCACTAGTCAATATCCTATTATCTATCCTAGTTTGTGTGTTGTGTGTGTATGTTTCAGAAGGCATTTTCTTTTTGAAAAGAAATTTGAGGACTTTGACAACCCAGATAACACAATTAAAATTCAGCTAATTAAGCAATTACTGAAATAGCTTACTGTTAACTATTTGGGGTATCTCTACCTCTTTTGGAGAGATTGAGTCTAAATTCAAATATAGTGAGTAGCTGAGTAAAGAGGCTTATAGATGATTCTCAAAGATTCCCCAGGCATTTATTTCACTTACTGTTTAGCCAAGTAGAGAATGCTCTCCTCTCTCCCTATACATACATGCTGTATCATAGCCATGAACTCAGAGAGGGAAGGAAAAAGAAACTGAAAAAGTTATAATGGACTCAGAGAGCCTCAGAAAGATAAATGCAAAAATACACTATTTTAATTGTGTAAATGTCTTGAATTATGCTTGAGAAATTCTAAACTAGACACCATGAAAAGATGCAGCATCTGTTTGTCCCAAACTCCCAAATCATCCTTTCCCTAACCCTCCACCTCCTTGGTAAACCTTAAGGTTGTATTGTATAGCAGAGGGAATTACATTCAATATCCTGTGATAAACCATAATGGAAAAGAATATGAAAAAGAATGTACACCTTGATGTACAGTAGAAATTAACATTATAAATCAACTATATTTCAATAAAATAGATTTTAAAAAACATGAACAGTGGATAAACATCAAGGCCCTACTGTATAGCACAGGGAACTATATTCAGTATTTTATAATAAACCATAGTGGAAAGGGACATGAAAAAGAATGTAGATACATTGTCTAACTGAATCACTTTGCACTACAGCAGAAATTAAAATAACATCATAAATCAACTATATTTCCATTTTTTTAAAAAAGCAGCAAATTAGACCAAGAGGGGATGCTACCAGATGCGAAAGGATGGAGAATGCCATTTTTTTGTGCTGTGGGGTAAGAGTTCCCCAAAGCAATCTTACCTTTGTTTTCTGCCTTCAGTTCCTCTGCCATCAAGCTGTCTTGTCGGTTACCAAGCACGAATGCCAGAAATGAGAGGATGAGGGCATCCAAAATCCCAATGATAGCCAGGATGTAGGCCCAGCGGACTGAACAAGCCCCAAGAGTGTACTTGTCTGTCTTTTCTCCACACATCCGTTTTACTTCATCTGAATCCCAGCCATCAGGGAAAATCATACAGCCAAGCACAAGGCAAGCAGCTTAGAAAGAGGAAAAAAAGAGAAAAAGACTTAACATAAATTTCATTTTAGCAAATATTGCCACTGTGTGTCAAATCATTGTCCAAATTCTCCATGTAAAGAACAACATGTCTTACTGCAGTCCAACCCTGAGTGGCTCTCCCTCCCCACCAGTTAACTTAAAGCCCATCACTCTGCAGTGAAAGGGGCTCTGGGAACACTCTTTACATAGGGCGGAACATTAAAAGAGAGATCGAGGTAGGTTGGTCAATAAGAAAAAATCTAAAAAAAAAAAAAAAAAAGTCGAATTTTGGCATGCATTTGTGAGAAGGCTTTCACTGCAAATAGGCCCACAAGCAATCCTAACACTGCAAGATGACAATTCAATTCCAGCTTTCAAGAGCTATGACAGCAGTCAGATAAGGGATTAGGTGTGGGATAACATGGTGATACAAGAGCATATATTGACTCTGAGTCACAGTAAAAAATAGTTTCATATTGTGACCAACACACACACATACACACAATGAAGTTTCTTGAAACTATACTTACTGCATGCAATGCACTCTGATATTTTCTATTCTGTTCTCTGTTCTATTTCATTTTTAAAAAGGTTGAAAATCATGGCAACACAGTATGGCACTGCAGAGCTTTTATGTAATATGTAAATTCAGGAATTTAAGGAGAATGCTTAGTACTTGTTCTATTTCCCAAAAACCACCATGTGAAATACACAAATACTTTTTAATAAGAATATATTGATTTGAAGGCTATCACTGCTACTCTCCTTAAATTTAATAAAATTATTTTGGGGTAAGTGGTGACAGTGTTAGGTTATATTCTGAATAGGTGGTTCATCCATTAATTCACTCATTAATTCAACAACCACTTCCTGAGTGTCTCTGAAGGAGTACCAGACATAGTTCTTGGTGCTAGGGATACAGGGATCAAGAAGAGAGACATGGCTTACGCTACCATAGACTTTATGTTTTGTCAGGGAAAAAGGACAAAAGAAAATGAATAAGCATCCAAATAAAGTAATTTTAAGTTGTAATAAGTAATAGGTAGGAAAGAAACAAAGGGCTTAGAGAACAGAGAGTAGGACCTTCTTCAGAGAAGGTAAACAGGTAATGCCTCTTGAGGGAATGACATTTAAACTAAGGCCCCAAACAAGCAAAGCACTAGACATGGGAAATGGCAACAGCCTGTGCAAAGGCCCTGAGGTTGAAGAGAGGCTTGGTGTGTTTGAGAAGCTACCAGGAGATTAGTGATGGGGCTGGAGAAACTGATCATGTGGAGGCATCCTTGCAGGTTACCCATTTGCAGGGCACATAAATAAAGAAAACTATGACGGCACAACCAAGTTAAGAGTTCTGTGATTGTCAGAGATAAACAATCCCTGAGGCTGGCAAGAGGAAGCTGCATATAGCTCTTGCCTCACTGCTACTTACTGAACAAGCCAGAAGTAGATAACTACTTTCTTACTTCTTAACAGAAGCACAGGTCTACAAGGCAGGTCTGGAGAAGACAGATACCAATGGGGCAACAATCAGGAAGACAGCCTGGGAGAACTCTGCTTTCGCGTTCCTTTGGATTATACAGAATGACAGTTCAAAACTTCAGGTCACACTTGGTTGCTCTTTTGTCTTTGCCCACATCCCAAATGTTAACATGCTTGCCTTATCTATCCGTGCAGTATCTCTATATACACGCGCCTACTTTAAGCCTTTGTTCTCTCTCAAAGGGAACCCTAACTTCCCTCTGCCTTCTCTGCCTTCACTCTATTTCAGATCAGACATTACTGCTCATACTGAAAATGTCTTGCTGGTTCCCACTGGTGCTGAAGAACACTTAAACACTCAGCCAGGTATTCAGAGCTCCACGGATCAGCCCCCACTTATGTTTCCAGTCCTCTTCCCTTTATACTCTCCACTTCACGTGGGCTGTAATATGCATGATTGCCTGTCTATGCACCAAGTTTTTGGATCTCTGTTTTCTCTTCTGCCTAGAATATTTGCCACTACTATCCCTAAATAGTCTACCCTTAAATATTTTTTTATTGTGGTAAAAGTCATATAATATAAAACATACTACTTTAACCACTGTTAACTGTACAGTTCAGTGCCACTAAGTATATTCACATTGTTGTACAAATCTCACCATCATCCGTCTCCTGTGTTTTTCACCTTCCTTAGACGAAACTCTGTCCCTAACCCTCTGGCATCTATCAATGTGCTGTCTGACCTAAGTATTTAACTACTCTGGGTAACCTGCACAAGGGGAATCCAAAAGTACTTGTCTGCACCTAATGTATGTGCTGTGCTCAGTTGCTCAGTCGTGCCCGACTCTTTGCAACCCCATGGACTGCAGCCCGCCAGGCTTTCTGTCCATGGGGATTCTCCAGGCAAGAATACTGGAGTGGGTTGCCATGCCCTCCTCCAGGGGATCTCCCCAACCCAGGGATCAAACCCAGGTCTCCCGCATTGCAGGCAGATTCCGTACTGACTGAGCACCAGGGAAACCCACACCTAATGTATACTGGAGAGCATTTTTAAGGCTAACTTTATGTCCCACAAACATCTGGTGCCTTCTCCTCCCCACCCTGTACTCTACAGCAGGCCTCACAGCCATCTGCTGCATACACAGTGATGTACACATGTCAACCCCAGCCTCCCAATCCATCCCACTCCCCTTCCCCCTTGGTGTCCAGACGTTTGTCCTCTGTGTCTGTGTCTCTTTTTTTTTCTGCTTTGCAAATAGGTTCAGCTGTACCATTCTTCTAGATTCCACATATATGTGTTAACATACAAATAGCTCATGCAGCTCAATATCAAAAAAGCAATTTAAAAAATGGGTAGAAGACTTAAATAGACTTTTCTCCAAAGAGGACAGACAGATGGCAAAAAGGCAAATGAAAAGATGTTCAACATCACTAATCATTCAGTTCAGTTCAGTCGCTCAGTCGTGTCCGACTCTTTGCGACCCCATGAATCACAGCACACCAGGCCTCCCTGTCCATCACCAACTCCTAATCATTAGAGAAATGCAAATCAAAACTCAGTGAGGGGACTTCCCTGATGGTCCAGTGGCTGGGCCTTCACACTCCCAATGCAAGGGGCCCAGGTTCCATTCCTGGTCAGGGATCTAGATCCCACATGTCGCAACTAAGACCTGGTGCAGCCAAGTTAAATAAGTACTAAAAAAAACCTACAATGAGGTACCACCTCACACTGATCAGAATGGCCATCATCAAAAATATATTTACAAACAACAAATACTGGAGAGGGTGTGGAGAAAAGAGAATGCTCTTACACTGTTGGTGGGAATGTAAAGTGATACAGCCACTATGGAGGACAGTATGGAGATTTCTTAAAAAAACTAAAAATAAAACTACCATGAGATGGTTGGATGGTATCATCAACTCAATGGACATGAGTTTGAGCAAACTCTGGGAGACAGTGAAAGACAGGGATGCCTGGAGGGCTGCAGTCCATAGGGTTACAGAGTCAGACACAACTGAGCAACTGAACAACAAATGACTTAGCAATTTCACTCAAATATTTTTTTAATTAATTTATTTTCTATTGAAGGATAACTGCTTCACAGAATTTTGCTGTTTTCTGTCAGTCCTCAAAATTTCACTCAAATATTTAACATTCAGTCAAAAGCAACATTCTTCACAAAGTGAACCATCTCAAATTCTTCTTGACTTACAATGTTGCCCTTCTCTGAACTCACATGGTTGTTGACTGCACTGATCTTAAACATCTTGTTTTTTAAAACATGTTCTATAATTATTTATTTACAAGCATTGTCTCAATTACAGACTATAAACTTTCTAAGGAAAGTCTCCTGGGTTAAGTCATATTTATAGCACCTAAATCAGTGCCTTGTACAGATTGGCATTAAAATGCTTTTGAATGGGAAAGTGAATAAAGGAACAATCAAATTATAGCACCTAGACAGTATACTCTAAAATACAGTTTATAAAAGTCAATATCACAACCACCAAAAGTCACAAATCTAGTTAAATATGGATTCATATTTCAGTGACATTTAACAGAAACAATTTTGTTATAACTAGACAACAGATTACAAGTGCTTGGGAGATTAGAACAAAGTTAAGCAAATGATCTTCCATTCCTTCTGTAGTTTCTAGCATTTGGTACCAACATGCTCTCCACGGCACTTCTAGTAGTAATCATTTTTGTATTTTAAAAATATGTGGTTTCCATGAGTGAAAATTCATTTTATTTGCAAAGACCCAGGTTTTAAAATACAAACTATACCTCAGAAAAACACCGCCAAGGAAGCTACATTTAAAATATCCTAAATGCTTTTTTAACAATTTTTATTAATGAGAAAATTACTTTCTTATAAGAGGAAAATTAAAAAATTTAATGAATGGGAATCACTTGGAGAATGGTAACTTGTAGTTTTAGCCAAACTTAACACACATCATCAAGTGACCCAGGCTCAGGCAGGGTATTGGATATTATAGGTCAATTTCGCTAGAATAGGATGTTTGTGGAATGCTGACATCAACAAAGACATCTTTTCTCAAGGTCTTTCTGCACTGAAGGTAGACTATCTTAAAAGTTTCCATTTATGGAAACTCTGAATATCACACTGTGATAAAAAGAGCAAAGATAGAATTCACACTCTGAAGCTAAAACCACAGGAGAATATGAGTGGCAATTCATTATTCCCCATCTTCAAAGCATATGATTGTCTTAATCAAATTTTAAGTGAAGAACCTGGGAAAACAGAGGCTATACAATATACTGTTGTGCTTCATTTTATACAATTGCTATTCTCCTGAAAGTAACAAAAATACAATTTTTGAAATGCAATTTTCATTTTCTATACAGTTTAAGCGAGTTGGCTATTCAGAGAAATCTTAAGATAAAACCTGGGCTGATAAGGTTGGGTTTTGGCCTCCCAGGGTCAGGGGAAAGGCTTAGGTCCCCCCAACCCACCCTACAGGTGTATCCTTCAGGCCATGGGGCACTAGAATTTGT